TATGATAACTACATTATTGAAATAATTTTGTCCATTTTAATAAGACTAATGTTATTTTAGCATAAGAGCATGCCAATTTTGGAGCTCAGGATTTCATAAAAATATTTACCACAGAAATAACTGAAAATAATATTAATTATGTTTTCAACTATAAGTGTTTTTTCAGGGATTAATGACCCTTGTAAAGTGGGAATCAACATATTAGAAAACAAGTAAATTCAATAATTAATGAGCTAAGCTTTCTATTCAAGAATTTAAAAAATAATAGAATACACTCAAATAAAGTAGGATTGAGCAAATAATAGAGAGCAGAAAGTGATAAATTAGAATCCAACCAAAATCAAATTCTTTGAAAAAGTATAAAATGGATAAATTTCTGAGAATTTTGATCAAGGTAAGGAAAGGCAAAAATAACAATATTAGGATAAAAAAGTAGAGTATAAATACAGACAAAGTAGAGATTTTTAAAATCATAAAAAACAACTTTCTTCCCATAAGTTTAAAAATTCAAATGAAATAATGACTTTCTAGAATAGCAAAAATACAAATACCAAAATGACCTAAGAAGATATGGATATGCCAAATGGAACCATAAATTTTAAAGCAATTGAATCATTGGTGAAAATCTATCCACATACAAACCATCAAATTCATTTGGTTTTACAGGTGAGTTTTTACAACCCCACAAGGAACAAACAAGCTCATACAAAAGGTTCTTTGTATACTTTTTAGGTCTTCAAGACTTGTGAAAGAACTCGGTAAGAAATAAAGCATCCCATTAAAGATAAATATTATTATCATTGGTAAAGTTGATACAAAGAGTAACATTTTTTTGGTGAAAAATTATCTGCTATTATTTTTAAAGGTACGAACATATTTCTGTGATACAGTGATAAAATTCTAGAAGGCATCCGAAATGGTCCTTAGAAAGAATACGAGAAAGCTGTTGAAGTCATGTTTCAGACAGAAAAGAGAAAATGTATGGTTAGCCCAATGGGAAGAGATGGAGGCTTTGAGCCAGGAAGGAATCAGAACTCTTTTAGCTGTATTAGGAACAAACACACGCCATTAAGAAGACTTGGCTTTCGAAGTGTGTTTGAAGAGAGATGTGGTTCAAACAACAGGGAAGATCATAAGCCTCATTCACTGACTAACTAGCTGGTGAATATGCTCCAGGAAAACCAAACATGACAAAGAGAAACAGATCAAGGACAAGGATAGGTTTTTCCAGAGATCAATATCTTGCTAATTCAGGAAGATATTAACCAAAGAAACTCTCTGGTTTCCTATTTCACATTCAAGATAACCCGGAGCCCAGAGGAGAAGGCTTCATGAACAAAATTGCTTTCTGTCTTTCCCTTAAAATAATAGTACAAGTTATCTAATTTCAAGACAACAGATGGAGGGAAGTGAAAAATCCTGCATCCCAACCCCAAGTTTGAAGGCAAGGGAAATGAAGAGGGCAGGGTGAGCGCTGACACCTGGAAGGCAAGGCACATGGGCCAGCTCCACAAGACCACAAGATAAGTGAGGGGGGGGTCTGGGGAGCCACTCAGGACAAAGAAGGGAGTTCTGTCACTTTAAACACCAGGAGACCGGTGCTCTGTCCCTGAACCTTGAACAGAAACAGAGCGCATGCCCAAGTCCACCCAGTTTAGGACGAATCCCACTGACCAGCTTCATGGCCAAGGAAATCAGAAGAGGCCATCTTAGAACACTCCAGCAAATTCTTCTCTTCTGAATTCTTCTGCTACCTATTATTGCAGGCTGTAGAACTCCATCCCTGTGTACAGGATTTACCAAGCAAAGCATGCATTTACAACTCCAAAAAAAGTCAAGTCACTCAAAATACAAAGAATCAAAATGAAAGAACAAGAGTTCACGCGTATGAGGATCTCAGTGAAAAACAAATTGGGAGATCTTTCTTGCCCAAATTTAAATTGGCTACGTTCTGTTATTTATTTCACCTACTTCACATACACATACACAACATCATTGTTGTTGTCACCATCATTTTAGGAAAATTTAAAACTTCAGACCTTTCTTTTTGACCAAATAATTAGGATGTCGATACTCCTTGATAATCAGCTAAAAGAATGAAAAGTTAAGTTGAATCATTCAACACTTGGCCAAAAATGTATTTTCCCACTTCTGACTGTAATATTTCTAGGATTATATTGTGCTTCAATCTAGAAAATCATTCTGAATTCACCATCAAGCATGATTTAAATCTCCTAGAAATGTTATTAGGGACCTCCATTTGGGGCAATGTGCTGTCCTTGTTAAATTAATCACTAGCAATGTTTCTCCATGTTCTCCGGGGGGAGGTAAGTTCAGGTACACTAGGTACACGGCATAAAAGTGTCCCAAACAGAAACCATGGCATTTTGCAGGAGTTAACCCTTCTGCTGCCTCATAGCCTCACGTCCCCCTGCACAGCTCAATTTAGCATCCTACTTAAATATGAGCAAATTAAGTCCTACAAGCAACCCCAAAATAACAGTTTTTCCAGTGCAAAAGTTAAAATAGAATTTGAATAACTAGATGACTGTTTAATGGGCTATAAAAGTGTCCCATGGTACCAGGAAAGTCTTGCCAAAGCCAAATAGAAAGTTTAGGGCCTGGGAGCCAGGGTGTGGGGGATCTCTGGGCATTTCCGGGCTCCTGAGGAACAGAGCTACAGCAGGACAGGGTTGGACTATATTCAGGAAGAACCTAGAAGACCCCAAATACCAGTTTTGGGTCTTTAAAACTACACTTTCTGCTCTCAGAACTATACCCTTCACCCCACCCATGGCAGTCTCCACTCAGACCCCTCTCTGCTCAGACCCTTCTGGCCAGGGGACATGGATGTCTGTCTGTGTTTCTGTCTCTGTGCCACCCTAGATGCAGGAAAGAAAGAGGGAAGAGTAGCCAAAGAAGTTCAGAACTTGGGGGAGGCAGACAGATGGGAAGAACAGCAAGTGCCAGGGAAGATAAATACAACTGGGTAAGAAAACTGCCAGTGGGCAAATCAGTAATGCCCAGCACTGTTCTAAGAATGTTACACATATCTACCCTCATTTAATCTTCACAACAAAACAAGCATCCAAGAGAGACATGAAGATGAGACATCGGCCAGACCTGGGTGGAATTCTGGCTCCCACACCCCAGCAAGCGAGCCTCCCCATCTCTCAGTTTCCTCCTATATGAAACGCGGTAACCATCCCTACCTGGGATGGTTGTGAAAATTAGAGATAATGAACTTAAGTGCCTACCAGCGGCTGTTATTAGTGTAATTAATCAGATTAAAATAATCAGAAGTGAAGAACAGAAGAAAGAGTTGTAATTGAATAGAAATGGCAATAAAGAAGCAGTAATGGAAACAGGGCACAAAAGCACCCACCAGCAGGCACTCACTCCGGGAGAGAAAGGGAGTGAAGAGAGCCTGCATTTGGCTCCCCACTTTGTGTGTCCCTGGGCAACTCCTGTAAACTCTCTGAGTTTCCATTTCCACCTCTACCAAGCGGGAGTGCCCATGTGGCAGGATGGTTGTGAGGACCATAGGAGGAGATGGCACCTGAGTTTATGCAAATGTGCGCATCTGCTTGGTAGAAGGGGAAGTCCAAGTCCCTTGATTCCACTTTTCAGGGGGACTTAACACTCAACGAGAAGAACCATGTCAAAGCCAGGCAATTACCGACTGCAAAATCATTAAATAGCATGTGCCTCCTTTGGTCACCATTAACAGAATCTAATTAATTCAATCTGACATCGAAGGTTCGCTTCAGGCGAAGCTCCCACAACTTCCACCCTTTAAACCATCCCTGTACCTGCTTTGTGCTTCCCTCCCAATTTATGCTTCTGTTTATTCCTCTCTGGAATGTTGTTGCCTTTCATCTCCAACTGACCATATCCTGGTCATCCTTGAAAACGCAGCTGAAATGCTGCCTCTGCATGAGGAAATGATTCCTGCCTCCCTACACTACTGCATTATCCTTCCCAAACTGCTCACCCTACCGGGCACTTTCCTGTATTATGATGGATCACTGGCGTGGATGCCCTCTCTCCCACCAAGCAACAAGCTCGAGGATGACAGGCAATGTGTCTTCTCATCCTTTATGGAGACCTGCCTCACCTTAGAACTCAGGGCCTTTCACTCGGCAAATGTATAAAACGTATGTAATAATGCAAAAATTCTTTTGACCTAATATCTTTTTTGAATCCTTACAACAGTAGCTGACATATTTTAAGATTAAAAAGTATTTGAGATACAAAGTAAAAATAATGTAAAGCACTATGATCATAACACAAGTTTATGTGGGGGGAAAAATGAAGATGAGAAAATACATTCTGAGGCTTCTGCTTTCCAAAGGAGAGTTAACTCATTAAAGGTGGACTGAAAGTGGGTTACTTATTTTTTAAAATGCATTTTGCCTCACTGGCCTCAGTCACCTAAGAAAATGCTTCCTGGAGAGGGACAGCCTCAGCCCAAAGGAAGGAGGACACAGGGCGTTCCTGACGCAGCTGCAGGCACTCAGGTGTCCCTGGTCCTCTTCCACGCACCTCATGAGTCAGGGGCGCGCCAGGGTCTGTGCCACTGCCAAGGCGCATCTCTCTCCTCCAGCATCCAGGGCTTTGACCATTTTAGCCTAGGAGCTCGCCTGCGCCTCTCTCCCCGTGGGTGAGATCAATCAACTTCAGCCTACTCGCCTCCTCCCTCAATAAACAGGCCTCGACTGTGGCAGAGGGCTGTCTCACTTGGCGTCTGAGGCAGAAATAAGCAGCAAATCGCTAAGTTCCTATGGGCTAACACCTAGGGGCAATTTCAAGGCCAATGCCCGCTTAAGAACGAAAGCAGGAAACTGATCCTCCAGAGGTTCCTTTTGACCAGAAGAAGCTGCTCTATCTGTTGCCCCTGTCCTGGTCCGCGACCAGAGGTCAACTCGCCCACCCGGACATGGTCCGGGGCCTCCCCTCCCGATGGCCCCCGCCCCACCCCGCGGGTCCACCTGGCTCACCTATCTTGGCCAGGGAGGCCAGCAGGATCCACAGGGTGATCTCGAAGGGGATCTGCACGTGGGGATAATCCAGGGTGAACACGGGTAATCGACTCTCCTCGAACGGCGTCGTTCCGGGAGCCACCACGCTCGCGGGGCTGGGCGGGCTGGAGCTGGTGCCCATGGCTCTGGGCGCGTCCAGCAGGGTCTCAGCCAGGGTGCTCACCGGCCCCGCCACCTGCAGGAGCAGCAGCAGCAGCAGCAGCAGCGGCGGCGGTGGCGCCCTCAGGCTCCGCCCGGTGCCTGCCGGCTCCATGGGCTCGGCTCCCGGCGCGGACGACGAGTCGGGCGCTCTGCCCTCCGCGCGCTCAGCGCATCGCCCCGGGCAGCGCCGCCCCTCGGGCCCGCACCCTGCGGGGCAGCGACAGCCCCCCGCCGCCGCCGCGGAACCGGGGCTCTGCAGCCGAGGGGCTCGGGCCGCGCTGTGAGCGGGCACACTGCCCGGCCGGGCGCGCACGGCGACTCGAGGCCACTGCGCGGACGCGCGGCCGCCCTCAGCCACCCTCCGCCGCCGGCCGCCGGCCCATGCCCGGGGCGCGGCTCGCCGGCGCGCTGCAGGCCCGGCCCGGGCGGCCCGCAGGCGGGCGGGGGCGGGCCGGGGCGGGGCGGCCCGGCGCGAGCCGGGGCCGGCGCCCCGCGCACCTGCCCGGGCCCGCGGGCGGCGCGGAGCCCCGGTGGCCGCGGGGGCGGCGGCCGCGCTTCCCTGTTGCCAGCACAGCGCGCCAAGACCCGCCACCCCCGGAGCCAGCGAGTTCTGGGCGGACTCGCCGGGCCGGGCGCAAGGTGGCCCGAGCTGTCCCCGCCCCGGAGGCAGCGTCGGGCGTCCATCCAGTGAAGGGGCCGGCGCGCCCCACGCGTCGCGCCCTTTCCCCCGCAGGCTCCTGCGAGGGGACACCCCGGTCTGCGGGCGCGCGGGGAGGCGCCGCGGGCTCGGGTCGGGAGGAGAAGCCTGGGCCGCGGGGCGGGGGAGCCACCAGCCCAATCGGGACAGGCTACTGAGCTCTGTGGATGGTACAGAAATTGAGAAAAGCCTCATTTTGTTCCCCCTCCGAGTTATCAAATCGCGTACAAGGCATTCTCTCTGCGCGCTGAAACTCCCTGTGCAGAGCTCAGGGTTCCCACGCTCCCGCGGAACCCTTTCTTTTCCACCTTGTGCCAGTTTCGCTCATTGTCCTCACTGTCGCTTCCACTTTACTTCTCCCTGCCCCCGGTCACAGAAAAGAAAAACATCTTTCTCCGTTTTCAGGCTTAGAGGTGTACATGCCCGACAGCAACAGAAATATAATTATTTTGTGGAAAACCAGTGATTTGCCTAGCTCGGATTGACTTGCTCCGCTAATTACAGGACGGCTTGTGGTTAGGAGAGGCAAGGGGAGGAAGCGCGATTCTCCCTGGATCTAAAAGCTGGGTCTTCCAGCGCCAACCTCCTCGCCTTCCCAGCGCAGCCTCCTCACAAGGGCGTCCTGTACTTCCCCGGTGGCCGTCCTGTTGTCCCAGCATCTTTATCACCAGAAACTGAAACGAACATGATAGCAGACCAGCTGTCACTCAACCGAAACAGTTTTCCTTTCGATATTTCGGAAATAAAATCCTTTTCTTTTCTCAAATTTTTAATGTATCAAAAGATGGCTCCCCCTATTAAACACCGGGCAGTTCAACATTCAAAGCAGGTGTTTTTTTCAAAGTTCTAATACAGGGAATCTATGAGACGTCAGCAGAGGGTCCAGGAAAAAAATCCTCCACCTGAATGGAAGCGTCAGGAGCAGTCATCTTGGACCTTGACAGTAATGCAGGGACAAGTCCAGGGTAAAATGGCAGAAGGATTCCGGGAGATGACACAGAGCCTCTCAGGTAATATTTTATACAGCATCAGCGTTTCAAAAGTGCAAGAGAATTGAATGCAAGTGTGCTGTATCTTCTTAAAAAGAACCATTGAGCCATCCAAAACTCCACCTCCCCTTCTCTCTTCCCTGGAAATGTTCACTAAAGGGATGTGCATGTGCTCAGCGTTCCCTGTGAGAAAGAAGCAGCGGACAATAACTGCTCTTTTTAATTGCGTATTTCTACATGAGAGGCTCCATGCAAGGCGCTTTACTTGTATTTTCTGTTAATCATCACAAGAATCCAAATAAATCGACAGACATTCTTGTACCCATTTCGTAAGTGAAGAATTATAGACAAGAAATGCCTCAAAATGAACCAGCAAACAGAGGTACCCACGTTTACAAGTCAAAGAAGGGTCCAGAAGGAATTCATGTCAGGCCTGTCCATGCTAACACTGGTTCCATCCAACTGTCCACCCCAGGACTAGTTGCCCAAAAACTGCAGGTTATTTTCTCAGGTGCTTTTAAATAGAATAGTAGAGAATATTTTAGGAATTGTCCACAAAGCCATAGCAGAATAAAGTTTTATTTACAGTAAGTGAATAAGGCCAGTTCTGCAAGTTTAGTGAAATAATGGTAGGACAAGGGCCCATTCAGACAGTAATTTCTAGGAGTTTGAGTCATGTAAGGCTTTTAAGACTGACAGTGCATCATAAACAAGAAGATGAATGACAGATCTGTGTTTTTGGGTCCTTTCTCCCCAAGTGGCTGTAGAGAGTCCAGACTCTAGTGTCACTTTAACTTTATAAATCTGTGCTGTTGTAGTTAGAGGCTATCAACTTTTTCTTAGATATGGAAAAATTCTTTTTTGTTTATTCTTATAAATGGAAGATGAAGGACTTAGTTTAAAAAACTCTTTTCATCTTTCCCCTAAAGCAAACAAGAAAGAGTTAAATCAAACCCCAGGCTGACTAGGAGCTCAGGCTTTAAAAGTGACAACACCGCCCATTACTGTCCCGGGGAATGACTGGAGGCAAGATCATGTCTCTATGAAGTTAAAATTCTGGAGTGGCTTCTCAGGGCCATTTGGAAAGACTAAATTCCTACACTGACTTACCTGACGACCTCTGCCTTCCCCACCCACTACCTCACTCACACACACACTCACACAGACACACACACACACCCTGCCCCCCTCCTCAGTGCTCCATTTATTCTGACCAATGTTCCAGGCTCCCTCTCACCTCCGGTGCTTCGCACATTCTGTTCCCTGTGCAGGGGAGCCTTTTCTCCTCTCCGCCTTTCACCTTGTTAACTCCTCCTAGGGTCTCAGTCAAAGGTGACCAACTCAAGGAAGCCTCACCTGGTCCCTGCCTGTCTGGACTAATTAGGGTCCCCTTTTACGCCCTTTGATGTCTCCCATACCTTTCTTCTTAGCACTTAATCATTTTGCTTTTCTCTGGCTACACCGAAAGCTCCGCAAAGGTGAGGACAATCTGATTCACTCTTTTATCCTTAATTCCTAGCACTGAGCCTCGAGCACAGTGAGTGTGCACCAAGTGTGTGTTGGATGAATGGCTGTGTGCTTTGACCAGGGATTAACAGCTCTCCTGCCTTGGGGACCTGGGCTGCAGGCCTTTCTCATGGTCGCACCAGTTGCAGGATATCTATGAGAAGTTCCACACAAAATGCTTCCCTCCAATGGTCCCTGAGTCAAAATTTGAGATCTCACATCTGCTTTTTTCCTTTCTATCCAAATGATGTGGAAATCCATTCACATGACAGGATTTCTAAATATTTTCCTGCATAATAACTGCCTGATTTGAGACTGAGCTTCAGGTAGTAGTGGAGAAGTGTTGACTAGGAACTCATGAAGCCTCTCAGAGAAACTGGCAAATCTTCTCTTCTCCCTTTCATCTAAAGTGGTCTGTTAGAATTTTAATGTGTGTAATAGAATCCTCTCACAGGAGTAACTCTCCTGAATCATCCAGTCATCAGGCAGAACAGGATCTCGGGTGTCACTAAAAATCACAAAAGGTTTTGGAATTTAGCTTCAGAGGAAGTGCACCTTAAAAAATAAAAATATGAACTCTGCAGAGGAGATTAGGATCATTGCCCAGCGCGAGCCTGGTCTCAAATCTCCCTCCCGCCCTGGAAGGCTCGGGACGACCTGGGATTTGACTTGGCATCTCTTGCCACACAGAGCTTGGATCTTAGTGACCTTGTTGACTGTTGAAGCCCCAGGAACTTGTGTGCGAAGGAGCAGGCAGGGATCTAACCCCGCTAGCAAACAACTCCAGAAGGCTTAGTGTATTATCCCTATTTTGCAAATGTAGCCTGGAGGCTGACAGAGAGCAGTCATCGGTGCGTAAGTGGCAGTGGCTCCCCTGCACCACAGGGCGGCGCCAGCACCCTCTCCAAGCGTCGGCGGCTCCCTTAGCATCCAGTGGGCTGTGTGCACTTGATCAGGAGATAGGGAGGGCAAATGGCTCCATCATTAGTTACTAGGTTAATGTTCAAGGGAGTACCTAGTAATAGAAAATAGTTAGAACTGATATTTCACACTATTTTTAAAAATATTCATATTGTAACTCCCCCTTCTTTGAAATCTGCATTGTACAACCACTAACACTTAGTTTTGTATAGTAATGATATTTCAGTTCAAAATCCTTGCCTATGAAAAGTCGGCACTCATAGTATTGTTGACTTGGTGATTATATTATTATATTGGAAAGTCTCAAAGTCTAAATAAGCCTCATTTTTTTTTAAAGATTTAGTCCTCAGCAAAAACCTGGAGCCCTGTTCTTAGAGAGCAGCCCTGTGAGGGAGCAGGCAAGGCTGTGAAGGTCTTATTGACGTGCAAGGAATTAAATGCTTTTCTCTCATTTTAGCCAGATATATTTGTTTCATCTCAGCAGAGAAGTGTTTTGCTGTCTGCAAAGCTACTTTCTGCAAATTCAAGCTTCTAAATAAGAGTGGTACTTTTAATATTGAAATCTAGTATATTTAAAATAAGGTACTGTCTTCAGATATTCAGCCACTGGGTTTTTCAGAGCCTCAGTTTTCCTCCATAAGGTAAGAGACTTGGAATAAGAAACTTTGTATTTCTTTATAAAAGGCTTCACGAAGCTAGAATTTGAATCCAACACATCTGCGTAAAAGGGACACACACCTACATTCTCCTGGTCACCTGCATCACACACCTGCATCACGCTCCTCAGGCATTGTGATGTCACGTGTGGGAGGAGAGACTCTTGTCCTTTAAACTCTGCCACATTGTCTCTGAATTCTGATGCGCAGTACAGTGAGAAAGCAAAAAGACAACACCTAGGAACTTCTGAACAGTATCTCCTTAGTACATACAAGGCACACTCATTCAGCAATTCAACAAGTGTTTGTAGAGTTTCTACGGTTGGTAGGCACCTGCAACTAA